TGCGTCGAAGGTTTTTCTGCGCGCATACGCGAACCTGCCGATCGCTCACTCGTGGATACGAGTCGCGATCGGTGCCAAGGCTGTCCTCGGTGATTCGCCTGTCGCTTCAAACGGACCCGCGTTGAAAATTCATTCCCTGTGCCCGCGGGGGGTAGCGGGTTTTCCGCGAAACGCGCGACTCGCGGCCGTAGCGGGCGGGAATGCGGAGTCGCGCGAGGAATACCCGTAATTCGATTACTCAGCACGCGAGAATGCCGAACGAGCCATTTCTCTAGTGGGGAGGAGACCGCCCGGCATTTTCTTTGACCGAGCGAGCGCGAAACGGGCGCGCGATTTGAAATTCACGGCGAATCCGCGATACGAGAATTTCGCGCGACGCTGGAATACGAAAGCAGTGGAAACGGCCGAGTGCCTGCGGCTACCGAAAACGCGCTGCGATTCCGATCACGATCTTAATCGATGCCTGTCGGGCTGACCCGCGGAAAAGAAGGTCTTCAGGCGCTGTGACCGAGCGTGCGTGACTCGTGGAACGATCGCAGCACGTGCAAGGGTCGCTCGTGGCCGTTCATTATCGCGGCTTAACGCATCGGTCGCGCGTAATGCAATCGGTTTCCCGTGCCAAGAAGTAATCGCGCGCGTTAATTAAAGCCCGTGTGCAGTGGATTATGCGCGCCACGTAATCTCGCGAGCGTTCGCGGACGAATCTCGCAGGCGTGAAGCGACTCGCGGAGAAGAGGCAGAAGACGAAGCGATGGAAGCAGAGCGAGAAGAGGAGACGAAAAGGCGAAGCAGGCATGCCAGGCGGGCAGCGGAAAGTGCATGACTAGACTGACCGTATATTCGTGATGATGTAACGGGAGAAACCGCAGAGACCACACCCCGACGATGCCGCGGCCACGTGCTGTTTCGTAAGCTACCGACATTTAGGCAAGGCCACTGCGGCGAGAGATGCTGCTTGTTCCCCATAAGGTGTTTTCGCCCGTCGCAACCTTGACACGCGGTCAGCACCTACGTCCTGTCGTCTCTGATTCACGATACGACCAAATTTTCTCTATCCGACCGGATATTCCGTGCTGTTGCACGGACGCGAACGCGAGACCGCGCGAATCCTTTCGAGCTGCTCGGAGCAGAAACGAGTGGAACTGCCATTAATCCGACAGTCGTCGCGTCAGCGTGCACTCGCGGCTGTCGAAGGTTCTTGAACCGCGGGCGGAGTAATTACTGCGTGAGAAATGTAGCACCGTGCGACGTTTCCGGGTGGAAAGAAGACCAAGTTTGCGGTCTCCGGCCGTTTCAAGAGTCCGCCCAACGTTTTCGCTCGTTAGCGCGCACAACGATTCGTGTCGCGCGCAATTGGGAGCAAGTGCGCGTTCGCGCGAAGCGTCAATTTTAATTGATCGAGAGGGCAGGATCGAGCGAAGAGGCGAGCGTGGCTACGAAGCGTACGCGTGGCTAATTAACGCTGCCTCGGGCGGCCGATTCCACGCGATTCCACGCGATCCGACGAAAAGGAATAGAAAGGTGGAATTGCGCGGAAATTATCAATTTATGACTGGCGCCAGCGGCCAGGGTATTGGATAATGGCCAGCGATGGAGGAACGTCGTTAATCACGGCGGCATAGTCCGCGCGGTCGCGCAGTCGAAAATGCACGGGCCCGGGATAGAATGGGGTCGTGAAATAATACCAGAACTGAAAATAACGAACGGGCGTGCCGTAAAGCGCGGTTAATTCGCGCGACTCTAGAATACATAGTATAAATATTACCAAACGCGCGGTAACAGGCGCCGGTTAAAGAACGCCTCTCGTGCACTGTAATCAGGACCGTCGGACAGGCATAAAGCAACGCTATACTCGTAAATAACGAGAAAATTGCCAATAACTCCGGGACACACGGCCGTGTCCGTGGTACGTTTGATCCCGGAATAGTTGGCGATTTATCGTCCAGATTCCCAGATTACGCTATCTCCGGGTTGCCACGGCGGAAAAAGAACAGGAAGGAGAAGAAGAATGAATCGCGAACTCCTGTGGCGTTATCGAAACGCAACGCTGTACCAACGCCGGTCTCTTCCCCTATCCTGTACATCGTCGGACTGGCGCGCGTGCGATCGTGAAAACGGGCTGCTATAAATATTCGATTCGCTGCTCTAATCTGTTGGCGTACGAGGCCTACCAGGTCTACCAGGTCCTACAAGCCTCGTCGCGTATTCCTCGAATGGAAATAAAACGCGTGTAGAGCAAAGGTAGGTAGTACGCGGCCCGACGACCACGCGAACACGCGGGCCCTGTACGTGCGCGAACGCGTATGTAGATACGCGGAGACCGGCTGGTTGGCGCCACTCGGTCCTCTCTGCGTATCGGGGTAACGCGTAATAAACGTAATATCGTACACGCCGATATGACCCGTGCATTACGTGCCATAGCCGGTCGAACCCGAGTATCTCCTCCGCTTCCAATCTCCCTGAATCGACGCATCGCGATACGGCACGTCGTGGCGACGTGGGGAGGCAGCTGAGGATTGATAACGCGTTGCAGGCTATCCGTTCCGGTTTGTACTTCAGGGAAATCGCTCCAGTCTAATGAACGTCGACCAAGGTGGCTCTCGATCGTTCCGCGAAATCGCTCCTATACACCGGGAAAATCAACGCGCGTGTATACTCTGGCCGATGGTCTCGAGGATACCGCGCGATATTTAAAGGGATCCAACGAACGAAGTTTCCCGCGTTTCCCGCGTTCTTCGAGAGAATCGTCGGGGATACCGAGAGAAAGAGAAAAGATGAGACGGGAAGAAAAGTTAGAATTAGAAACGGCGACGCGAGTTTCAGGAAACGAAGCTCGATTTCGATTCGAGCTCGATCGATATTCCACCGGAATACCGTGCTCGATCCCATGCGCGATAACTTCGTTCCCCGATGGTGTTTGTTCAGAAGTGTACACAAACAGTACACGCGAGAGAATCAATCGTTAACTGGATGCCGGCAGGTACATTCCACGGTACCGAGCGGCTCGTTCAGCCGGCTCGGAGCTCGTGTTCTCATATTTTCCGTCGTACGGTTTATCGAAATCGATTCCTCGACGGCATACCGAATTCGATTACACGGACATCGGTTTCGCCAATCGAACACCGAACCAAACTCCCTCTGCAACTTTACAATACGCGGTCCTCCTTTGACGCGGCGACGCCCGAGCGAGGAGGATGTAATCCCAATTTAACAACCGCTTAAGTACGATCGTCAAATTTCGATACTTAATAAAGTTGTCGAACGTTTAGCGGCCAGCTTAACGTATTATACTTAATAAGGTATGCCCCACATGCTGGAGGTGATAAATAGGACGATTTACCAAGCGAATGGACACTCTCCGCCGTGCATCGAGGCGATGAAAAGGTGGACTCGATTTACGAGAAAATTTCTTCGCACGGAACGGGCGCCCGGTCCCGAACAGGCCCAAACCGTGAATACGAAATTTCATTTACCCGTGTTCCTTCGTTCCCGGGAAACGATGAAGATCAATGGATCGAAATGTACGCGTGCTGTCCTAATCCGTGCGCCATTGTTTTCTTCCATTCGGCCCTGCCACCCCGTTGACAGCGATTGGCATCTTACTTACTTATACTTTGAGAAACATCTTTCGAGATTATTCTCTCTACGAGGCCAGTGTCCTCCACGGGATATACACGAATTTGCGCTAACTCGCTTTCGCCAGGCATCGCAATTACGATCTTTTCTCGTAATAGCGCGCTGACCTTTCGGCGAGCAGCCGAAGACTTCTCGTCCGAGATTCTCGGTATGTCTCGATTCACCACGAGCCTGCTAATTAATCGTCGTTCTCTTTGGTAAACAGCCACTTACGTTTCTATTATCCGCTGGTTCTGTCAGAAGCATTCGCGGTTATCGGGATCGGCAAACTGTTGTCAAAGCGATCGGGAAAGGGATACGATGACCGCGGCATCGCCTTGGTCGCGATAGGTCGGACCTCGACTAATTAGTATCATGAATTATTCATATCGCGGGCTGTCGCTTAAAGAACATAACGATGATAGAATATAACGAGAGCAGAGGGCTTTATTTACGCGCAGTAGCCAGAAATGGCAGGTATTCGTAATCTTTTCTGCCACGGGAACACGTTGGCTACACGGCAACGGGTCGTAATAGGTGTACCTGGGTGAAATTAGCATAACGAAACGACCGTAAGCGTCCTCGTGCCTGTTATTTTCGCGGTTCGCGCGGATTCTCGCGTTTCCACCGTAACGTTCGCGTCTCGGCGTGCGTCTTTGCCCGAGTTTCGTACGACACTGTCGGGGAAGGCAAAACGTTGCGTTCGCGTCGCCACCTTTAGATTTATCGTCTTATTTACAGCGGCAATTTGCATTCATTTGCGATATTCGTGATATTTACCGGGAATGTTTTCGCGACTCGGGACCCGTTTCGATCTCGTAATTCCGCTTTCGCGTAAACGTCGCTGTAATCGCTGACTGGAAGACGCGATAGATAGGGCAGACCGTTGGAAACTCGTCGGCAAAGCTAGTTAAATCGATTGTGTACACTCGATTAGAAACGAGAGTAAGCAGAGGCGCGAGCCTACGTTTCCTCGTTGCACGATTAGCGAAGTTTATTTTGGATCGTGAGCGGCAGTGATGTCATCGTTTCGATTGCTACAGTTCAATAAAGCCTCGTATGCAACTTGGAACCGAACGGAGTCAAAGTGCAGCACTTTGACACGGAGTTATCTCTCGACGTGCTTCGATACGTGCCTGGACCGAATTTTATCGACGTTAGAAACGCGGATATCGTTCGGAGGCGGACAAATTACTCGGCTCGCGCCTGTCGCGAACCATCGTCGAACGGCCGGATAAACGATTAAAGAAGAACGAATGGAGAACGAATGGAGAACGAGTGGGACGAGGGAATAGTCCGTGGGACCGGTAGCGCGGTGATCGGCAAAGAAACACGACGATGCTCGCGAGTATATCGTGAAAATCGCACACGCGGTGTACAGATACCTTTCTTCGTGACCCCGCGCAGATCCTTCCGCTTCGGCTTTCCTCGCACAGTTTACTTGCACTCTACCTTTCTCTCCGTTATTCTCCTTGACCTCAAAGACGCGCGATCATTCTTCGAAACTGCGATCGGTGCGCGAGAGTCCGTCGACTCGTCGACGTAGCCGCTAGATCTCGACGACTGGCCGTCGTGATCGTCGTCGCCGTCGTCTTCGTCGTCGTCGTCGTCGTGGTCGTCGTGCTCGTCTCACCGAGTGTCGTCCCGGCGTGTTCCGCGTGATTCGAATCGCATGCACCACGTTCTCGTTGCTCGCGGTGCGGAAATGACCGATCGAACCGACGAAAACGGAACGATAATCGGCCCCCGGAGCTTTTTTGCAATCGAGCTTGTCCAACGATCTCGAGCTCTGGCCAACCGTATCGCCACGATACACCATCGGCCGTGAAAGAGGACCGACTGGATTTTCACGTGTGTTTATCGATCGGCGCACACGTATACGCACGACAAGAGCGGACCGTTCGCGCGCGAGCTTCGAAAAGCAATGCAGGCGCGAACGACACGGGAGCCTCTCGTTCCTTCCTACGTTCTTACGTCGATCTCGCTGCTCTCTCTATCTCCGTCCCGCTCGATCCTGCCTCTCTCTCCCTTTTTCTCCTACCCTTCTGTCCTCCTCGCTCCCGCTCAATCATACCTGTCCTCCGTCTCTGTCCCCATTTCTGACTTTTACCTTTCCCTCGCTCTCTCGCTCTCTCCCTCGCTACTTTGCCCCCCGTTTCGCCGTCACGCTCTTTTTCTCTCTTTCGAACTCAATGATCTTTTTTCATAGCTATTCCCTCTCTTTCCCCTCATTTCTTTCGTTTATCCCGTTCCTCCCTCTTGTTTTCTCCTTGCCTCCTCGTCCGCTTTCCTCGTGTCCTTGCCCGCGCAGCTACCTTTCCTCTTCCATCTTCCGCCGCTTCTCGCACGCGTCTCCGTCGCGCATTTTCATTATCGTTCGCCTCCTCTCGCTTCGCGCGATCCTCTGCGGCCCCCCACCACGCCGCTTTTCCCCCTCTCCAGCTCGCCCTCTCATCCCCCACTTTGTCGGTATACCTTGCTCGCTTTGCGTCTCCTGCCGGCCACCCACAGTCCTCCTTCTCGCTCCCGTCAAGCCTCTTCTCTTCGTCGCGCCGTTTTACCGGTGCTTCGTCTTCGTCTCTCTCTCTCCGTTTTTCTCTCTCTCCCTCTCTCCCTCTCTCGTCCCGAGCACCGTCGATCTACATTTTTCTTGGCCGTTTGCCCTCCTTTTCCCTCTCTAAGCCGCATCTCCGATACGGCTCTTCCTCGTTCGCCAAAATCGTGCTCGCGGGGGTTCCACTCATCACCGTTTCGGCCACGATTACTATCATTTAATACCTCAGCCGGCCCTTTTTATAGTTCCCTCGGCGAAACACGAACCGGGAAGGGCCACTGGCATATCTTGTCCCTGGAACGCCCCGCGAACCTGCGGCGGTTCGTATTAGCGTTCGACGAGCGCGTCTAGTATATACGGGTTCGATAAACAGAGACCGATAAAATACGATCGAGATGTTTATTTGGCCGATACGCGGTTAATCCGCGGCAATTCGAGCAAACGTTCCGGAACGTGTTCCCTACCTCGGCTATCGTTCGGCAATTTATGCGCGACCAGTGTATACGTTTATTCACGATCGGTCGCGCGGCGGATATTCGGGTTTAAAAAACGCGCGGAATTCGACGGCGCTGCGCAGCGTCTGGAAGGTTATGGCGGCCGAAGTGGATCGGCGGACAGCCTCGAATCGATCGTTCGTTATCGCCGAAAATCCTGTCTGGCTGCAGATATAAACGTTCGTTTGGCGGACGTGAACGGCGCATTATTTTTAGTGCGTTCAAGTACGACGAACAAAATCGAAGGCGACACCCCTTCGTATGTCTGCCCTCGGAGTCCTCGAAAGTCCCCTCGAGCACGATAAATGATTTATCTCCGTGTCCCTCGCCGTTGATCCCCGTCGTTGGTGTTCGTGCCACGGGGGAACGGACACGCGTCCAGCGGTGCTCAGAAAGGCACTTTTGCGACACCCACGTGCCGGCATAAACACGTGGGTACGATACGGTTTGAGCACTGTCTATCGGAGAATCAGCGCTGACTGGCTATGGTGGCCGGACGTGCGCCCATCGCGCCGTTCGTTCAACGATCGCTTCCTTTTTCTACGTCAACGCGCTTTGTAAACAGTTTCGTGATCAACTTTTCCCTGCGCTCTCCGTGCCACGTTCTATACGTAATATTTATAGGCTTACGAGACGCGTGAATGCTTGATTTTTTCTCAGTCTGTCCGTGTACGTTTCGAAGAACGGAGGAAAGGACGCGGTGGATTGGAAAACGCGGGAGAGGAAAAGACAGAACGAGGTGCATGTACGCTTCAGCTGGAATTATCCATTTCAGCTTGTCCGGCTGTTTATTTGTTCCTATTAACGAGAAATTCCATGGCTATCTGTGTGCTAACGGGATAACCGAGAGTGCATTCACGTTTTACGCCGCCTTCACCCTTTTTTCCTAGCTCGATTACGCTGGAATCGGGCAAGATTCGTGGCCGAAGATCGTGCGCCGCGACTGATCCTCGATTACCGAGGAACGAAACCGGTACGATAGGATAGGGTACGGTTTTCGAACGTCGGACGTCTCCGCGTTTCAAAGAAACCATCCAGATATCCAGCGGAACATCCGTTTCATGGCGTATTTTTAGCACGTGCATTTACCTCGTGCAAGAAAAGTAGATCTCGAGGATACGGTTACACGATCATGGACGATCGTTGCGTACGCGTGGTCGCTGACGGACGCACCGATACGCGGCATCATCGAGTTTTAATAATCTCTTCCATCCCACACGCGGAATATCGTTGACTGTTTAATCAACCGCCTGCGTATCGGCTGACTTTGATCTTCATCCATAGATGTCGGTTAATGTATTCGATTATCGGAGACTAGCTCGAGATATCGCTGTAGGCGTCCCATCGGACTGGTTTCCGTCGATTAAAGCGGAATGCAGGATCCGCGTGCATTGTTAATCGATTCTCCGTGCAGAAATCTCGGAACACCGCGTAGCGACTGCGCGGAAACCGCATCTAGTATATTCCAAACTGCACGACCGTGACGCTCGTTGTTCTCGTTACCGACGCGTCTCCTACGCTGACCCAGTCCTCGCGACATCGATTCGCGGTCCAAGACGATGATCGTCCATTGGCTTCTCTTCTTTCTCAATGATCGTGCTTTTTGCAGGTGAGTGCATCTCGTTATCCGGTCGTGGTGAAACTTGGACACGCCCACGGCGGAGTGGGAAAGGCCCGTGCCGAGACGCATCAAGAGTTTCTAGATCTCGCCGCTTTGGCCGCTCTGTCCAACACTTACTGCACGGATGAGCCCTACATCGACACCAAATACGACGTACACGTGCAGAAAATAGGCAATAACTACAAGGCTTTCATGTGAGTATCGCGAAATGTCCGTTAGACCGATCCCGTGATCCGTCGTTGCGAATGTCACCTAGTAGCTCGTGCACGTTACCGGGCAAAAATGGAAATTGGAACGCGTAGCTTAACCCTCGACTGGCAAGGCGAAATGCCAGTTACGCAACCACCAGTCCCATGACAATTTCAAATCCGCCGATTTTTTCCATTTTATCTCGCCGAATACGCAAGTACGTTTACGATAATGTGCTTTTGCGTCAGTCACGGGACAATACGGAACGAGTTCGCCGTCGTTCGATTCCGGGACAGGTAAGAAGGAAGTTGCCGCGTTCCACTTCTTCCCAAGTCGGTTTCCTACGCGATCCAAGCTTTCGATTCATCCTCCTCCCACTACTCGAGGGTTTACCGACTAGACGATCGCGACGAGAATAGCAGGGTAATTAATTAACGGCCGTGGTTGTCCACGTTCCCCCCCAGGCGGAAGAGCATAAGCGGAAACTGGAAGTCTAACACCGGTTCGGCGATGTTGGAGCAATTAGCCGTGAGCGAAAGACATCGCGCCTGGGTCGATCAAGTGTCCCAATTGTTCGGTGGATTGGATATCTGTGCGATCGAGCTATTGGTCGGAAAGGATGGTCGAGAATACATAATCGAGGTGAACGATAGCGCGTTGTCGCTGATGGGAGACTCGCAGGAAGAAGATCGTCGTCACATCGCGGACTTTGTCACCGCCAAGATGCAGGTAGAACGAACGAATACGTACCTTTGCTTTCCTTCAATAGCCAATCAATCACGATTAATTGGACCGAAGGTTAGGAAGATGGTCCCAGTCATTACGCGTTTCGTTTCGAGGTATCGAAAATTTCGCGCTTTAATGACGTCATTTTTCCGATTATCCAGGCATGCTGCCGAATTCCGAGCGTACTGACGAAAACGACATCCAGAGGGTCGATGTCTGGCTCGAGTCAAGCAACGAGTCCCGTGGAAGATCGCAGTGTGCCACCGGCTGCTCCGTTAGGATCGCACGGAAGCATGGGGTCCATGGCTAGCATAGGTAGCTTAGGTTCCGTGGGCTCCATGACGGCAATGGCGGGCGACGTGACTAGTTCTGACAGCCATCATCAATTGCAACGACGCGATTCCCAAGGTTCGTAAAGCAACGAATCATTTTACCATCGTTAACAAGGAATATCCGCGTTTTAGCGGCATAGTTATGGTGTTGCCGTGGTATTTTATTTGCAGCGTCGCAATCGAGTACAGTGAGCAGTGCTCCGTCGGTTGGTCGACGCCCAGAAGAGACTCCACCATCTAGAGTACCCTTTCATAGACAAGGCAGTCAATCCCAGAGCGAGGACACCGAAGATACTATGAAGAATCTTCGGAAAACGTTTGCAGGAATATTTGGTGACATGTAAATTTTTTCGAACGGAAAGTACTGAAGCAAAGGAGATCGTTTTAGGATTGTCATTCGATTTGAGTTTGCGAGAAAAAGATGGTTAAGGTGACGTTGAGTTAGATTAAAATTCTTGAAGAGCGATTGAATTTCGTCTGAGTTGCTTCTATATCGTTGACGAGGTAGATGAATGATTTTACGATTATGGGATTCCGTCGAAAGTGTTTGGCAGGTTACGCACGACTTACTTTGTGCGAGTTGGTAATTAGGATTGAGTCGAAAAGGAAGCCGAATGGCGATGTATTTGCAGATCATCAAGCTCATCTAAACGACGCTGGTGTCCCACACTGGGCGCCATATAACAATGTAAATTTTGCTAACGGTCCACGGCGATGTGTATAAATGTAAACATAATTCGTTAACGTTCTTTTCGAGATAATTCACTTTTCGATTGCCATGTTTGCCATGATTGATTTCGATTCATTTCTACGAATAATTCATCGATACTTATCCTTCTAGAATTCCTGCTAATCGCGTTGCTGTTACTCCGTACTTAGTTGTTAATCGATACCGCGTGTCCAACGCATCGGTTGTAGTTCAGATATTAACTACGTATTTTCGATAAGGGGTGGGTGAACGAAAATTAATAAGGGGTTTAAAAGAGTCGTGGTCGTTTATGTATATTAAAAAAAAGAAAAAAAAAAATCGTAATGTAGATTCTATGTATTCGATGTATTCAGCATTTACATAGTGGCTAGGGAAAATTCTCTCAGGTTGTATCGTAAATGAATACTTTTCCAAGTGTCCGGTTATGTTTCGTTACCATCGACGTATCCGTTCTGCATACTCGTCTCTCGTTTACGGGAACGCCGCCACTTGGTTTTTCGATTCCAACAGGCAACAGTACCATAGATCCCTGTCATCTCCTCATCCGACTTTACTTCTGGCGTCCACTTTTTAGGCTTAACTTTCGATTATAGCATTGTCTAAAGGCGTGGGAATGGAAAAGGGAAGGAAGGGTTGAAGGAACGCAAGTTGGAGGGGGGAAGGAAGAAGGATGGGTTATAAATTTGAATGGGTGATGGAAGTCCTGCAGTAAAATACATATTTGTAAAATTATTAAAAAATATTTGTAAACCGACGTCATTCAAAATGATTGAGGATAACAAAAAAAGAGGAGACTCGGGCATTATACTGAACATTTGGCTAGAGAAGACTCCGGATCGATCGCCGGCGTCGTCACGCCGGCACGAAGATCCAGATCTCCGGAGTCTGTATCTTAAGCGCACAAATAGTCATTAAGATATTTGAAACCGGGCAGTACTTTGACATCGTGCATGCGAACAACGCAAACGTTTGGTCGGTTATACGGGACTTATGGCGAGTGAAAAATTTATTCTGCGACGTCGCCGGTTCGTTCTTGAACTCGATACATTTTCGGCCTGCAAAAAGTCTATTTCCACGACCGGCGACCTTTCCATTTGGATCGTTCAAAATTCAACGTCTCGAATAGTAGTGAGCATCTCGATGTTGAAAACTGTCCTGCATTCCGATAACGAACCGTTTCTTTTTCTTAAATTTTCACGCACACGTAGGTCGTTCGTATGGAGGGCTGACTCTGGCTGAAGCTTGCTGAAAATTCACGAAAAAAGAGATGTTCGTTGCTCCGTAGGCTTTAAGAACATTACCGATAAAATCAAAATGTAATAAACGGCCACTAGGTGCCGGGAGAATGAATAAAGCATGGGCATTCAGTAATCGCGATTTTTGCTACCGTGCAAAAGTCCGCAGCACACCAAGGAAATTTTTGATGATCTGCAGATATACTCGTGTTCGCTTGCCCGAGTTTACTGATTTCCGTTCAACCTCCTTTGGCTCAGTACTAGCTGGAAACGGACCCGGATCCGTCGAGTAAATTCGATCGACGACGAAAATATGAGAGGAAGAAAGAGAAAGAGAGGGAGAGAGAGAGGGAGAGAGAGAGAGAGAGGAAAAAGAGAGAGAAAGAGAGAAGGGAGTAAGGGAACGAAACGTCTTTATCCAATGATCTCAATTTACTTTAGCATAAGGGCTGATAAACGTATTACGACGAAAGATAGACCTCGTGGTGTCAGCTTTGAAAGTAACAACCGTACATGTTCGTCCTTTTAACGTTCCGTTCTACCCCTTAGGTTCACGTTTTCGATGGAACTTTTGGTCGACTACGATGTTTAGAGAGCTGATTTCGCGTAAACCTTTGTTAGTCGAGAATAGAATAGGGGTCGTAAGAAGGAAAGTATTGCCATCTCTAGTTTACGTTTCTTGTGCGTCACTTAGTAACCCGTTGCTTTGCCGATGTTGAATTTAGAAAGACGACGTAAGCGATACGCAAACGCAAAATACGCGGACATAGGCCATCCTCCATTGCACAACCGGTCGTTCAATATTGCTGTGTATCTAGGTTTAGTTGGTGAGTTAGTCGTCCGTTGTTAGAAGGTACACGATAACGAATTAAACGGAACCCACGGTCACGAGTTAATTTCGAAGTAATAGACGTCCGACGGTTTGGTTTTTGATGTGCCTTGATACTTAAGTGTCCTTCTTGTCACGTTTCTCACCCGTTCGAGGCAGTCGGAGCGCGTTTCTACGTACACTTTTACTATGCACTTAACCATGAGATCTGTTGTTTGTACTTTTTATATACACCATGAACGCGCGCGCGCACCGTTTTACTACATTCGCGTAATCATCGCAGCGAGCTCGCTTACCGATTCGTCATGCACCCCGATACCGTGGATAAGTGCAGATACACCGTCCAAGTACGATCAGCAGCGAACGAAGGCATTGCTTACAATCGAAACGTCAACCGATCGAACACGCGAGCCTCTTGTCAGTTCGTCGATATTCGGTGGTAGCTCGATGTTACGATAAATTATTCCTCTTCCGTTCGCTATCGTTCACCGTTTGCCGCGCTTAGATCCGCGTTCGCTTTACGCTTGCTTTCAATCCCGATTAATCATCCACGCGACAGGCAATAACGCGTAGAGAAAGGGTAGGGGCGTCTAAAGGAGTGCCGCGTGTGAGTAGAGCAGAAGCTTCGGAGTTAGAGTTTGAACGGCTGTCTAATTTCGCGACTTAGTTTTCAGGCTACGCGCCACGCGCGCGATCCCAGTGAAATGAAACGGGGAATAATCGGTATTTCGCGCGACAAATCGACATCGAGACCGACGACGTTTGGAAAGCCGGTGCTTCAAGGGACGAAAGCGGATAAGAACGGTATCCTGGACAATCGTGAGAGCTGGGAAGTGGACAGTTTGCCCGACAAAGTACAAAAACCCTGGATTAAAGGAAGCTGATGAGACTCGCTTTCGGAGCTGACGCCACGACGCGGAGAAGCGAAACGAGAGCTCGATAGATTCGTTAAGATGAACGCATTCGATCCGTAAAGAATCCGTACTGATACGTAGACGCGGTTAAAGATAACGAATATCTCAGGGGTGCAAGTTTATGCACTAGGTAGGATAGAAAATGAAGACATAGAAGAGGCAGTTGGGTTCAAGTGTTGTTGCAGCCTAGACGAATTAACGGCATTGACTTCGATACCTACGACGACTAGTCATTTAGCGAGCACGCTTCTTCGGAGAAATCTTAGCGATTATCCACTTAGGGGTGCGGAATTTAACCGGAAACGATCATCTGCATCTGGTAACGATCGCAATGAAATATTTCTTTTCTTTTTTCTTTCACCTAACCTTTTCTACACGTCGCGTAGATATTTCATCGAACCATCGCCGCGATTCCACGTCAATTCCTACGAGCATATCAATGATTTCCCTCCTCGAGTTAACGCTGTTTATTTTTATCCGGCCTCATTTTTATCGGGAATTAAATATTCATTAGGATCGAACAGATGATCGAACGAATGGTACACCGAATAGACAGAAAACACGTCGTTAGGCGTTTCGTGTTGCTTGATCACGTAAGAATCTCTGATCAACGACTTATTGTAATTTGTTCTAGTGCCCGTGTGATGTAGTGAGCAGCCTGTTACAACACCTTTCCATTAGTTTTAATCGTGTTTACGTGTTCGCGTCACGTTTCATTTCGTCGTAGCCACGTGTCAGCGAAACTTGGTAGGCTGATGGATCCTTTGTTCCGCACGAAGATGCGCACCGCCTCGTAACTCGAGTCTTCGAACGTGCGCACTTCGCGCCGTAATTTCGTCATCCAGTCTCTGTTTCCTTCTTGCCGGAATATAATATTACGATTAAGCTAATCTACTTAGGATCCTTGCGTGACCGTAAATACCGTTGTTGATTAAGATTTACCATTCATAGCGATACTTTAAGATCGTGGAACTAATTTAGATGCCTTGGTTAATCACATCGCATAAGCAAGTTCCGACGCGCAAAAGAGTAATAAAATGGAAAAAAGGGAAAAAAAGAAATGAAAAAAGAAACCAAAAGAAAAAAAAAGAGAGGAAAAATGGAAGGTAGAAAGAACGGAGAAGAAGAAGAAGAGTCGCGATGATAACGCGACGGTAGCGTAACATTGCGTTACCATCGGTCATTCTGCGGCTTCTTTCGTGGTTCTTGATTGGGCTCACTGACAGACCATACGACGAAGCTTCGAAATGCGTTCGATCGAATAGCCTAGGGTACACGCTTAGAATACGATAAGTGACAATTCTAATCATCTCGCCGAGTATATCGAGCGTTCGACGCAACACATCGAGGCCAAACCCTTGCCGCGTGCCAGTCGAAATGGCGATTTTAGCTCATGGCGTTCGCTGCCAACTTAGTGCCTCGTTGCTTTCCCTTCCTTTCGTATTTTCCTTTCCTCGCCACTTCCAGTCCAAACCATGCTACCGCGTTCTCATCTACGCTCGTATACGCGTGCACGTTGAACCGTCGCTCTCGGATCTCTCGAACTCGAGTCCACGCAGCCTCTGGACCTCGCGATCCAATCCTTCCGCCACTTTCAGGAACTCAGGCCCCGTTCTCGGATCGAACACCGATTCTTTTCTCTCGCATCTCCCGATCCCGCTATCGTCCCATCTATCGACAGTGGTGAAACGAAACACCAAGACGCTATACGAGATTTGTTACAACGAATCGTGGAAGGGGTGAATGTCAAGCAACCTTCTCGTACGAGTAGAATCTAGCCTGCTGGACGAGAGCACGGGTCCACGGTTTCGTCTCGATCACGCGAACGCTCGTACCTTCATTACGATTATTCAATGTCTCTGTGTAACGAACTTAAGGTAACGATAGTATTAAAGGTAACAGTCGTTAAGGTGAGATTATTATCGTAGGCTAGTTAAGTACGGTAGGCTCTGTATGTAACCGTATGTTACCTCCTTGATTTCAATGAGTGCTAGTCACATGTATTATAATCACTTAACACTCGTACCCTCGATACACGAATATATACACGACATATTATATATATATACACACGTTATATACACATATTATAACTATGATACGCGGCAATTGTAGCTTATCACCCCGGGACGAACAACAGAGGAACCAGTCTATTGTTCTAGGGACATATAAACGACGTTGTAAGGCGTAAGGGTGTTTCTGGTCTAATTAATTGTAAATCGGTCGGAATAGCTGTATGAACCAAAGAGAAAAGCGAATACAGTTACGAGAAAAGAAATGAAGAAAGAAGAAACGATGATGATGATGATGATGATGATGATGATGATGATAAAAATGATGATGATGATGATAATGATGATGAAGATTGGGCGTTCTCGCGCGTACAGCGCCGCGTATTCCTTCGAAGATGGCCCGGTGTCTCTTATCGTGGATCGCTCATTTCGAATCTTCGAGCGGAGTCACCGTAGCGCGTTCGGACGTGCCTCTGTTATGCCGATATTCGATATCAATTGTACGACAATATAAGGTATTACGAGCAGAGCGACGCGCCACGCGTACGCGCCCTGCTCGAGCGAGACAAATGCGAGAGAGTAGCGTTATAGTATTAATCTCGATGTTCTCTTCCGCGGCGCGCGTATCCCAGATGCGTCGCGGAATCACTTAGAACTTTCCCCTGAAACAGCGCGCGATCGAATCATCGAAATCGTTGGGATCCTTTTCGTCGATCACCACGCGGAAGAACTGCAGTCGCTTCGCCTAGCGATCGAGTTCGATCGCCGGGATCGCGCGAGAAGACGGCGGCCGCCGCGACGCCGATCGCGTCCACTCGATCCTCCGTTTACCTCCATGCTCGTGGACGAGATCGTTCGAGCTCTGCAACGAGCGTTTCGAGCGTCTCGAGCGTCTCGATTGTCACACAGGACACCGACTGAACAACGAATCATCGCGATCGGGCAGCCGGCGATCGCGTCGCGGCGCCACGAACGTGAACGATTATTACCAGTCCTCCGATCGTACGACCATTTATTACCTACCTTTATCTAACCGCCAAGTAAGAGAAGAAGGAAGGAAAGGATGTTAAGTAAATGCGAGTAAAATGCGAGTTCTATCTGTCATCGTTTTAGCTGTTAAGGATTCATCACCGAAGTAAATTGGGGGTAGCTCTAAATCCAGTAAGCGTACCACGTAAGCGCAGCAGCATTGAGGAATACGGGAGAAGAAACAAGTAGTACAATGTATAGGTTTGTGTATAGATACGCGAGGGCACATGTAAAGAGATATCGGTCTGGGTGCACGTCGAGCGCTCGTTACCGATCCTTCCCAGCCAGTCCCACGTTGGAAGGCATCACGGACGGATGGCTAACGAGATCGTTCCTTCGAACTTCTTCGGATATCGCGGAAACCTTTTCGATCGTGTTCCATTGGACATGCGCGCGAGTGGTCCGTGACTGGACGGTCCTTTCCGCGGGATCGGCGGATAAGCTGGGGTGGTCGATAGGTAACGAGCACGCCGTTTCACGGAACATCAAGGGAGTCTTGCTCGCGACGGTGAACGATGCTCGACGTCCGGTGATCATTTCATGGCCTTAATCAAATTTTCATCAGGGGTCAAGCGTGTTCGTCGTCGCGTCCTCGCGTTCGTCGCGACGCGAGCAATCACTGCGCGACCATCGCTCGAATGGCCCACGGAGACCAAACGGTGCTCGAGAGGTGACGAGAGATCTCCATATTAATTCGTTCCCATCTCTCGCGTTTTCGTTTCGAACATCCACCGACTAACGTCGATGTTTCGCGTGAATTTCGCTCGAAATTTCGAACCGATTTCGAACAGCGATACCCACCGTGGTCCCATCGGTATCGTCGTTTCCTTCCGCGCGATTCTACGCGCGACGCCATCCAAAGAGTTTTAACCAGTGGCGCGACTCGGAGAATTACCGGACGAAAGGAACGTTGGACAGAGGAATTTCTCGAAATGTCGAGTTACGCGCGAACGAACGTGAACGAATCGGACGAGGCGCGTGATCCGCGATAAATTATCGCGTGTTATCGAACATATTCCTGGACATAGCAGTCTCCCGGTTCTACTATCGGGCATGGAGTATCTTTGCGGTGTCTCCGTAAGACGTTCGACGTGGCCCGTTAACAGACAACACGGACGTGCGTTACAGAGTTTCTTTCACTAGAATCGTGTATTCATCCATTGCATACCAACCAGATAAGGAAAAGAAAATAGCAAAAAAGGGATAAAAATATTGCCATAATCGAACTGTGAAACGTCGTGGAACGTTTCGATAAGTCGTTATGGTTGTTAAGACATTGAAATATTAAGAACTCTTTGACGAATTGAGCTGTCTCATCGTGTTATGTACACACATTTATAAATATATAAATATATAAATATATATATATATATAAATATATATGTTGAAGTTAACATTACCACTACGATGGTCATACTAAGCAGCGTAATGGACGAATGGCATGCACTCAAAGTTATAAGATGTTATAATTACTTCCGAAGTCGAGTAACGCAAAGTACTTTCAGATCCTGACGAATAAGCTCCTAAACGAAGCAGTAACGAAGACAAAGGTTAGCGAGCGTGAACGATAATCCCAGTAATCGTGATCGAAAGTGTAGCAAACCGATTTCGATTTTATGCTAGATCCCGGGACACCGTGTGATTCTGCGTGGCCCGACTTGTTTCCGGTGAAATACGATTACTGCGATACGTAAGCTAAACTGTAACAATAAAAGGAAAAAAAAAAAATAAAATATTATACTTCTGACTGTTGTCAATCGCACCACCTCGTCCCCTGCCAATTACACGTTATTTCTGATCTACGAACCGCTCGTTCGTTCTCGACTTTTCGTGGATCTACGAATGGATCAAATTTATTACACCGAGACATAATTTCGTCGTTATGATTTATTATATATTTCATGCACCGTCGTTTCTTGCAGTTACACTTGCACTTGCCGATAGAGGAATAGAAATACAGTTCGTTGGCAAATATAAATAGCGAAACATCGAGTATCGTTTAAATTCTGCTACTTTCGAAAGCAGAAAATTTATTGCGCGCGTTACGTCGCGCACGATCGACGTAAAGCTACGCGTTCTCTTGCTCGAAATGAAATGAAAACAGAGACTTGACTCGGACTAGCCTAGGGAGACGGTGATTTGAAAACGGCGGGAAATTTAAACTACGCTTTTATCCAATTCCGTATTGAGAGAGCGATTACGGTACATGCCACCGCGACCCTGGTTCTCGCTGAAAGAAGTATTTCGCGGGTAATAAGTGGTGGGCACGGTGTGAATGGCAGGTGCGTACCATCCGTAATCCATCGACGTGCTTCTGTAACAAGGATGCGGCAGCGGACTCTCGTCCTGTCGATATCCCTTGAACACTCCTGCAAAAACGACTTTTATCGGATAAAGTTGTACTTTACCCCATAATGGATGAACGCGTATCGCCTGTCTCGCTCTATAGTATATTTCCCAAGCGTCAATGCTCTCTACATGAATCATCGTTAACAAACATGTTCGATACGACGGTGCTACTTGATCGGATAACCTCTGAAAATCTACAGTGTATTGCGTCGGTTAGAAAGTCGATACTGGCTTCTCGTTGCGATTCATTTTCACCTACGAAACGAATACGAACTCGGTCTCTATCGTGGATGCGGCCACTGTTCACTCGGTGACTCGCGACGAATTCGCGGAATTCAGTGAACCTGTGGTTGAATCTCCGTGCACTCGTACGGCAATTGGTACGCGACGTTGTTGCAGCGAAATCGTCCTTGCACTTTCCAAACGTTGTCCATAGTCGTGCCAGCGATCTTAAAGCCCGGGTCGACGGTAACGTTCTTCATCTTGGCGAACGCGGACATGTCCACGAGACGAAGCTCGTTGCTGTTCAGGAACAGCAGTAGGAGATTATCCAGTCCCTCGAAGGTGTCCCCCTTCAGCATGACGATCTGGTTGCCGTTTAGCCACAGGGAATTTAGGTTCTTCAAATACCGGAAAATTCCACCGGAAATGGTCTTCAGTCGATTTCGACCCAGGTCCAATTCGTTGACCTCGCCGAGACCACGAAACACGTCAGATTGCAGGTAGGAAATTTTGTTCCTCGACAGATAGAGCAGGTCTATGTGAAACAGTCCGTTGAACGCTCCCACCGGCACCTCCGTGATCTCGTTACAGTCCAACGCCAGAGTTTCCAGGTGCCTGAGACCTCTGAACATGTTCCTCTTCAACGAAACGTTGTTATTCGTAGCGTATAGCTCGCGAAGATCGTTGAGACCCTTCCACATCCCGGGTCGGAACGCCGTGATGTTGTTGTAATCCAGCAGCAACGTCTCTAGACTTTGCACTTTGGCGAAGGCTCCGTCCTCTATCTCGACTATGGTGTTGTTCTTCAGATCCAGATAGGTCAGTTGGTCCAGACCGGTGAAGTAGCGTCTGAAGATGGTAGAGAGCCGATTGTCGCGGATGTAGAGGGCAGACGAATTGCTGACTTCGAGAAAAGCGTCCTTGGCTATGTCGACGATCCCGAGACCCTCCAGGTGTAGCTCGATATCCTCGATCGTCTGCACCGCGTTGACATCCTCGAACGCGACGCTGTGCAACACGCCGTTGGCCAGACAGACGTAAAGATGGTTATAAACCTGGCAGTCCACTTCCTCCGCGCTAACGTCTTCAACGGTGACCGATAAGAGGAGATAAACGAGCAAGAGGAAGCACATGGTGTGCCGAGATGCTGGATGCGCACTGAACGCGCGAGAGAGCAACGTTTCGACGTGCAGCCAAGGGAACAAACTGACGGTTACCGTTCGGCATATACCATTGGATAAATATATCAGCTATACCGTGTACGATATAACTCGACGATGAAGTCCAGTTCCGTGGAAATTAGATGTTTTATTCATTTTAACGCGCGACCCGCAACCGCTCGCCTCAACAGAGCCTCTGTGTGTCCGCAGCTGATACGGTTACACAGCAGCGTTTCATCTTGGCATTCAATTTTATTGAAATCATCGTTTGCCACCCGGGTGCAACGATGTTTCTTCGTATCGATATTAAAATTCATCTTTCCCAGGCTCTTTCTGGATGACAGGGCTCCTCGTGGCCGACCGTGTACGGTATTTTTATCGATGCAACCTCGTCTCGCGTGTTCGAGATGGTTCTTTGTCGATACTCGAAACCATGGTCGAGATTCAAAGGGAACATTTTATTCGCCGTCCCTTGCGAATCTCGTGATTCCAGGCTTTCGCGAGGCAAGTTATTTTTCCCTTGCACACACCTTTCTTATTGTTCGCCGCTGCACGAGCGACTCGACGCTTTGGAAATTGGAATCCGGTGTTCGGGCTGTTATCGTGTTTCGCGAGATGGATACCCGTATGGGACGCGCGTATCTCTCCATCTCGAACAGGTAGTTTCCGAATGGAAAAATTAAAGCGACACTCTTAAAACGCGACAACATCGTGGAACACGCTTTCCGCGTGTAGAGCGGGACTTATCGCGCCAACACGGATGCACACAGGCCAACTCGGGAGCAGATATTTCGACACGCATGAAATGATTTTTTATCGCGAAACGAAGCAATCTCCGAACGAAAGATACATTTTCGAAGCAACGGGATCGCGCGCACATTCGAAACAAGGCCTATCTTGTTAAAGGTTCCTATGACATGTGCAAAAATCTCTCCGCTGCCGATAAGCTTCGACGAACGTACCGATCGTCAACACTGACTTATTAATAGCAGAACGTTATCGTTTTAGTACGAAGAACTTCTCCTCCGCGTAGCCAACCGCGAAACGAGTTGTTTTCGCCATACGCGAAATCAATCTGCCAGCGAATTCCGGGCGGAATGTCTAGTTGAAGAAAAATAACGATCGACGTGTCGCGAAGCGATCTCGCGGTATAATTAAGACCATGTAACCCGTTGAATATGAAAAACGTCGTGGCGATAAATTATACGGACTTACGTGGGTACATAAATCGTGCCGGAAGATTGCAGGTTCGATAAACGTCATCGGTGCGTGGACCGAAAGAAATTTCGTCTCCCTTCTCGCCGTCCTTCCTTTCTTTGCACACGCACGCCGTTTCGATCATTTTCGGATTACGAGCGGCTCAATCGGCTCGCGGACGTGTCGTAATGCCCGAACCGTAGAATCGTAAAACATAATCTTCGCGGAACACCGTGGAAATACGTTGCAATTTCTGCCGCGACATCGGCCATAAACGTTTCGTTCCTATGGCGACTGTATCTCGTATGCGACAAAGAAATCGATCAAACAGGCTTCCATTCAGGTTCCCTTTGCTAAACGCCGCGGTGACATCAATTTTTAATTCCCTCTCGAAAATGATAAAACTCGGAAACGCGCGGAATCGAGCATTTTGAACGTTCGAATACTCGAAGATTCGCGATTTAAGACCGAAATGGAAACCCCTGCCACGCCGATGGAGATAATTCCATGCTCGAGGAATATACATATTTCCAATTAAACGAACATTAACGCGAGGCGTTCATCGAGACCTTTTCTTCGTCGGACGCTATCGTTTTAATCTCTTACTTCGTAAGGAATATTTTCTACCTATCTGCACTCGTGAGGCCAGAGACAGGGATCTTCGGTGAGCAGCTTTTTGTTAGGAAAAGGGTTATTGAACCGCCCAGGTGAACGACTACTGCACACCCAGCGAGTATTTAAAATTCTAGCTGAGTATGCAGTACATTACATCGGTCGCGCTATCAGCCACGCTGATAAGAGTAGCGGTTTCGATGACCGCCTTAAAATCATACTTCCCTTCGAACACTCGGCTGAAGGACCGTTTCCGTCCGAGCGGAATATAATAACGCGTTACGTGGCCGAATTTTATCCTCCGTTCGTTTCTCTTTTCCGATTTGTCCTCTGAATTCTCTAAAAACCGCGAAAAATAATTAAAAATCCCGCGACTCGGTTCCCCGTTACTCCGCGTTTTACCGATAAAGCATTAATCTACGTTGCCCCGATTATTTCTCAAATTTTTCGGGAAAATAAAATTCGCGCGGAAAGACGGGGATCGGTGTATCGGTAAACGATATTTACGCCGCGGTTTACGTGCGCGAAGTTCTCCGCATTTCCGCTGGACACATGGTGATTATACATAACGACAGCTGTTTCGTTTGTTGTGCACACCAGCTCTGTCAACTAGCTGGTCGACAACGTAAGTGGAGGTACGGACTTAATGAAACGATTATCATCGCCGGCACTTCCAGTTGCGGTCTGGCCACCAGAAGCGAATTACTGGCCTGGTGATAAGGGTTACGACGCGTAGGGAATGCAATAAAACAGTCTGGAGAAATATTCGACGTGGACTCGCGAACGAGGCCGTTGAAACGACAAGAATTGTTGCGATTAAAAATTGCTATTCGTGAAACGCGAATGAAAATCGCGGCAACGGAACGGAATTACGGAGTTCTTCTTGAAAGATTTCACGAAGTGAACGCGCGTGTGTGCCCGCGGCGACGAGTGAAAGGTGAAATTAAATTTCTCTGAAAAATAGACACCCGATGACTGCTCCAATTTGGCATTATAAATATCCCGGGCGACATTTTAAACTCTTTCTCGCGGAAGCATGAAACGAGTGACGTTTAACCGTGCCATAAATTTTCCGTGTTATTAGTTTCATAAATACGCGCACACGCGTTCAACCGCCACTTTCTTAAACGCGAGTCACGCGGGAACACGCTAAAAAGCCGGCTGAAATTTTTATTACGCCACGCTATCGGATCGGTTCGTAAATATTACCCGGCAATTTGCAACGTATGCTCTGCCCATCGCGACGATCGTTCTCGCGTCGTGGCGCTAATGAAAACGCGCGTGTCCCGAACGATTTCCTCAGCCTTGATTCTTTCCCGCTCGCGATGCGGGCAATTACGAGCGCGCTCCTATCAAAAATGATAAATGTTAGATAATTGCGATTCCGCCCAAGGTCGTCCGTTATCCTCGCGCCAATGTCGAAGAACCGTTGTCCTGCAATTTCTTCGTTAACTTCGTCGCAATATGCACGCCCTGCCGATTCTTATTACGCCCGTATCTGACCGTGATTACCGCCTGTTTACTCGCAGCTCGCGCGACAATTAACAAGCTCAGACGGATCGGAAACTCGCGTCCAGCTTGTTATCGACGAAATTTGCATATGAAAAGCGACACCCAGCGCCGCGTTTTCCCTGCCAATTGAGTTCCCGCCGCGTGCAAGTTGTCGAACGACGCGAATTCGAAACGAAAGCGAGAAGCAGGAACGAGAGAAACGCGTCGAGGATTTCGTTCGAACGCGAGACGAAACGTTCTGCTTCGCGAAAGTCGGAGGAAAACGCGTGATCGAAGCTGTCGTGAAACAACATCGCCGCGTTTGCTCGATCAATCAACCCCTGTTTCACCGCCAAGAGGGTTGAAACGGCGACGCGCTGGATGTTTCGGATCTTGCAGCATCCACGGGGAATTTCGTCGAAATCGAGAGACGCTAGCCAGACGTAGATACGAGCGACGAAGAGTCTCGTTGGCGAACCATGAGCTGCAACGTGATGCCCCTGAAGAGGTACGCGGAAATTAGTTACCGCGTGAAATGCGTGGCTGTGGAGAACGAACGCGTGTTCGGCGACGTGTACGTTACCCGGCAGACACGAGATTTGCTGTACTCCGCGGATGGATATCAGTTTCCCTCGTTGTACGACAGAAGGAAATCCAATCTGATACAGAGAACCTGGGAAGGTCCGGATTTCATGGAACTGAATCGGAAAAAGCCGATCAGGAGGGCCAGTTTCGTGCCGGCCAAAGCCGAGAGGAAACGTTTGAAGAGGTCGAAATCGTTGAACGACGCGAAAAACTCGCTCGAGAACGAATGCAGCGGCAACCATATCGCTAGACGCGAAATAGACGAGTGGAAACCCAAGGTATGGTTAACGATAGGTGTATCGGGTTATCTCGTAAATAATACGGTTCTTTGCTACGTTCGTGTGCTGCACGAAAATAAACCGACTGCGGTGAATTAATTAGTAATTTATTAGGTTGTCCAGTAAGTAGTATCGAATTTTTATACCGACACAGCAAATGGTGGTGCCCTCTTTCTTCGGTGCAAACTAGCGTAACCGCGAAGGGGCTCTAGACCTGGCATAGCAATTTTGCCATTCGATGATAATATCGAGGTACGGGTATATTTTTTCGCGTCCATGGACTAACCAAAGTATCATTTTTCAGACGTATCCTTCACCGTTGCCCAACCCACCGGCAAAGGACGAAGGGGCCGTTTCCTCGCTAGTCGACCAATTGTTGCTGGATATTTACGGGTTGCCAGATGGCGATAGAAGACGATCGGAAAGCGACTCGACAGCCTCATCCCTGAGGATGCATCCGCAGCATCAGCACCTGCAGAAGGCGCGTCTGTTGTGGAAAAGTAAGGGTAATTCGATAAGAGACAGAAACGTTTATAACGTCGGAGAAAGAACAGAACGATCGTGGGTTGCGAATAAACACGTTAGCTCGAGGACATTTATTGCGCGGAGTATCTTTCTCAGAGACACACACACACACACGGTTGCCGGGCTTCGCAAATAAAATCGCGGAAGAGAAACGGTCGAGTGCGCGCGATTTTCTAAATCTTCTTGCCTCGAAAAAATAAAGGAGCATTCGTATATTTGTAGCGTAGCTGTAAACGCGACGATTTCGCAACAAAGACTCGATTTTGAATCGCGAAACGACGATGGCCACTTGGTTGGACGAAGTTGGACGGTAACTCGACTCGCGAAGTTCGAAATTTGCCCGAATTAGGCAGAGATACTTTGGCAGGAGCTGACGAGACAAGAGGTCGTAGAGACGAGACAGACAAGCGACCTCGTTGACTTCGAGGCAAGAAGGTTCTTTGACTTGGAGTGCTACTTTTTTTTCCTTTTTTTTTTTTTCCTTTTTTTTTTCGAGGGGGAAGCACTTCTTTTATCTCTATACACGATGCTGCTTCGTTCCGCCTCGTTGAACATGCATAGGGAAAAACGGGGTAGAGATTGCACGTATCTTAAGTTGAAACCCACGAGAACACGTCAAAGCGATCGAACGAACGTGCAATTTGTTCGAGAAAAATTGACGTTCGTTGAAAGAATCAGCGGAAATCTGCCGAATTAATTCGAACGCTCGACATGTAAAAGTGGCGAAAGAAGGAAAGTTGCGCGATCTTCCGTTAATCAGTATATTTAACGCGTGGCACGTGATAATTATCCGAGATTCCCTTTCGAGCGAATCGCATCGCCCTTTCATCCAGCCGGGCCGTTTAAATTTTAACCCGGAAGCGATTTATTTAACACGGTTACCAGAGAGTTTCGCGAAGTTACGAGTGAAACTCGTGTCCGGAATGGCGAAAAGAAACGGTCGAGGTGGATGGAAACGGTGGTTCCATCGAAGTACGAGGGCAACGCGGAGAAAGGGTTGGAAAACTGCAATCTTCGGACGGTGTGTACACAGGGTGAGCCCTTTAGGGCCGTTATCAAGATTGCAACGCGGATTCAAAGATTCCTCCAAGTGTCTCTCGGCTTTCATCCACCCTCGGAACAGACGCGGGACCTTCAATTTCGAAATAACCCCGCGCAATCTCGAATATTGTACGCGCTCGTTACACCGTAACTTTCGCGTGATTAAACATTTCTCCTCGTTGGAATATCGTTGCAGGTAAACACGAGCTGCATATTTTAGTGCTGACCCTGCGCGACCATATTAATCACACCGGCGAGATACTAATTCGACAGCTGCGTCGCAAAGATTATCTGTCCACCAAATGCGAGAAACTGTGCGCCATCGTTTCGGCCCACCTTCAAGCTCTCAGTCCGAAACGCGGTGAGTACGTTTGAAAAATTTTTCTATCATCTTCCTTTTCGTTTGTTCTTCTTTTCTCTTTAATTAAGTATATTTCCGCACGAGTCTATGTTAAGCTATCGCAATGGCACGCCGACTTATTCTTGACATTTATGCGAGCCATTAAAATCGGCTCGGCGCGAAAGAAGTAGCGTTTAAACAAGCAGCAACGTTCTTTCACCGGCGACGATAATGTCGCTGGACAAACAATAGAGCTTCTCGTAATGCGGAAACGCAACCGTTCGCGTGTAGTCGCTTGAAGCCTCGCGTTTCCTTTCTCACGATAAAACTGTCGTCGCACAAAGGCGATCTTCGTGTTCCGCCACGACGTGAAAAAACAACCGCGCGATTTATGCCGCTTCTTCGTTAACCACCGGCAACTTATTATTTATCTTATCGCCATTTTGCATTTATGAATATGGAACAGCTGGAACAGGAATTCGGCACGCTGCGAAGACGAACCCGTGACACAAATGCACAAGTTATGCGCATCCCCGAGACTGATACGAATTCGCCGGATTTCTCAAAGGCTGCGAACCATTCCGGCTAATAAATTATTTAAACAACGCGATATTCGAATTCTTAAGCAGGAATTTTTTAAACGACCACCGAAGCAGTCGTATTCCGACAGAGTTTCTTATTCCCGTTCCTATCCGTCTTTCGTTACGAGCTTTCCGCGCATGCGCGACGATTCAAAGTCCTCGGCCAACCATATACGGTCGCGAGAATTTCGATTTCTCTTCCCTGATAATTTCTACCGAGTGTATATTACGGACACACCGACGTGCCAGCGAGAAAGAAGGCTCTTTCTCGCGACCAGACGAATTCTCGCAGCTCTCGGGCTCCGAGCGTTATCGCGACGCACGAAATGGCGTCCCTTTCGACGTAGATGGCGCTGGCTTGATAGCGGCGGTGCGAGGAAACGCGTTATCGATACTTTAAACGGACGGTATCGCGGCGTATCGCGAAATACGGCAGGCTGGTGGCCGACTCTTCCGGAAAACAAAGAGGGCCCCTTTTCACGTGGCACGACGCGCGGTCGGTGATCAATAATTAGACTTTGCCGCGCGTACCGCGCCCAACACGCATGCCCGGCGTGCGGTAAGTGCGGCCGAACCTCGCGGCGTAGCGTCATTGATAAAGTTTTAATGATGTTGCGCCTGCGAACCGGAAATGCGGAACTTGCCTCGGTCTTCTCTGACTTTAGATCCGCATTTAGCGCGATGAACCCGTTGCGTCGCGCGAGCCGATGCGCGACGATGCTGACACGCTTCGACCGCGAGGCAGACGCCTCGTACGTGTGTGAACGGTCTTGCATAGTTGGCGTACGTCGCGTCGTACTTTCGCAAATGCAATTTTAGAGTTTCGCTCCTCCACCTACCGTTTCACGGCTCCGAGTTGCTCGAGTCTCCGAGACTTCCGCTGGACGATGGCTTCGAAGCTCGGAGCTCGATTTCTATGGGTAACCTTCGAATCTCTTCCGTATTGTATTTTCAGTTGTCGTACCTCATTTTTCTCTCCTCTCCATTCGACGTTACGCTTGTTCTTATTTCCGAACTTCTTTCCCCGACCTTTTTCCGCCGAAGTTAGTCTAGAGGAACTTTTTCCGAGGTATCGAGTTTCCGGCGAAATTTCTGACTCTTTCGCGTTCCTGGGATACCTCGTAATAGAATTACTTCTGTCAGACGGACATTTTTGGCCGATGTCTCCAGTTTCGCAGCAGTAGCGTGCCTCTTGATATCGGCGAAGGGAGTTTCAAGAAGCGATAGATCATTTCCTACCATTGATCCGAAATGGACACTGTTCACGGAAGTAACCGGAAGAGATCCCTCAGAAACGTCTGCAGTAGCCACTAGCCGACAGCAGTGGTTCTGGAGAAAGTGACCATTGGTGGCCACCGACTGACCGCACGGTAGCCGTTGTTTACGACAGATAGTCGGCACAGGGGTAGCTGTGGGTAATCCGAGGATCAGGTTTCGGATATCCTGGTGTATTCGCGACATCGAAGACGACCAGATTAATTAGAATCTCGCAGAAAAACGTATTTACTCATCCTTGCATTACTGATGAGTAATGCTTAACCTGGAATATCGCCCATTTATCGGTCAAGCCCGCTGTAGTACTTTCTCGTTTAAGTCAAGAATTCTTTAATAGCATACGCGAGTATCTATAGTAGCAGATACAGTATAGCCACATTCATTTCGAATTCTGAGCGACAGGTATAAGGTGCATTTGTTGCTGCAGATAGTACATCAACGCCTTTGATAATTTAAAAAATATCTCCTTCTTTTTATT